GCCACCTTAGGTGCATGTAGCTGGCACCTTAGCCGCTTGAGCCACAGGTGCCGAGCCAAGAATAAATGTTTTTATGAAAAATTTTCCATTTGTCCTCAACTAAGACTCTGGAATATTTAAAATAATGCTAGATAACAGTCATCCATGGGACGTGCTTGAGGAGTTTCCCACAAGAGGAGGTAGTTGTGATATTGATTTGATTCATGGTTACTTAAATACACATTGCTAGCACTCTGGGAGGCTGAGACAGACTGCCTGAGCTCAAGAGTTCAAAACCAGCCTGAGCAAGAGTGAATCCCTATCTCTAAAAAAAAAAATAATAACGGGGCATTGTGGCAGATACCTGTAGTCCCAGCTACCTGGGAGGCTGAGGCAGAGGATCGCTTGAGCCCAAGAGTTGGAGGTTGCTGTGAGCTATGACGCCACAGCACTCTACCCAGGGTGACAGAGTAAGATACTGTCTCAAAAAAAAGTGAAGTAAATTTTTGCCTTAATTTTTAACACCTGTTCATTTTATTTCAGTGGTACAGGCATGGATGGGAAGAAATGCAGTGTCTGGATGTTTCTACCTCTTGTATTTACTTTGTTTACTTCAGCTGGGTTGTGGATAGTGTGAGTATTCTCTTATTTAAAGTGCTTAAGGGTGCAGGTGCAATGAGGATGAAATGCAAAGTTTTGATAGTATAGGATGTATCTGTATGGATGTATTTATAAATACTTTAAAATAATGCATTTCCTAATTCAACCTTGCTACACTTTCTTTTCCCATCTTCTATTACCCAAAGTAAATAACCAGAGTCAGTACTAGATTATGCAAAGCCGGTGGTGAAGAATACTGGTTTGGCTTGTGTTTCTGTGTTATTCTTGTAACAAACGCTGTATAAACTGGTTATAGGAGTTCAGTATTCGCAAGATTTTCTAATTTGACAGTAACAGGCTGTGGATTCCATTTGAAGTCTGTTATGTTTATGAAATGAATATTATTATTCCTGGCTTACCACAGAATGTTGCCACACTTTCTTATTTCAAGTAGTGTTCACTTTAAGAAAATTGTTTTAGCTCCTTAAAGTTCATTAAGGTGGACACATATTCCTAGGAAGTTAGAGACGTGGGGCTCTAATTTTAATTTATCAAAGTTGTATGCTCCATGTTGTCGTTTTCTCGTTTCCAAAGTATAATCATCAACACTGATTTCAAGGGTATTTTAAAACTTAAGGCCATATTAATAATGACATTTGACAAAGAACTAGATGATCTATGGGTAAAGAATTATAGAAAAAGAGCATTTTCTCAGAAAAAAATAAATATGATTCAGCGCAGTTCGTCTAATAAAACTGGGGAACAAATTATGGGTTCTTTTCCAATTTCTTTATTTTGTAAACTTACCCTTCTTTCTTAATAGGTACTTTATAGCTGTGGAAGATGACAAAATTTTGCCATTAAATGCAGGTGAAAGGTAAAGTTTATCTCAGAATAATTCATTGCTTATCAATAGACTTAGCTAACTCTTTGCAAGGTCTAACTGCACAAATGACCATATCAACCCAAGCCTCTCCATTTTTCGTTATCCAGGAAACCCGGTATGAAGCGCGCACCATATATAAGGTAATGCGGTAATTTCTTATGATCTCTTGGATCTTAGGGAAAGGTGGGAGGGTTAGAGATCTTAACATAGTAATTATGAAACGTTTCATCTTTTTTCAAGCATTGCAGGTGACGATCCTCCTGCAAGCTGTGTGTTCAGTCAAGTTATGAACATGGCAGCCTTCCTAGGTAAGGAGGGCATAAAGAATGCTTTACACTTGTAAGTTGTCTGGAGGATGCCTTAGGTACCTCGGGTCCATTTCTTGTTTATTTTAAATTCTCCCAGATCCAAACCAAACCAAGGTGGGCTTACTTGATAATTTAGTCTCATATCTTGTCGGCATGCCGAATGAAGGCAGCTTTTTATCTTCAGGTTCTTTTTTCTTTCCTATAGATCCTTTTATATTCACCTGCTTTCCTTCCATTTTTTCTTCCCTTTAACCATCTTTATCATTTCAGCATACTCTTGACTTTATTTTACTTTTTGCTGCATGAAATAATATATTTCACGTACCATAAAATCCTACATGAAAAACGTAATATTCGTGCAGTATGTTTGCTTTGAAAAGAATGCCTTATTTTTTCACTGGCAAAGATGAAAAATCCTTAGACTCTGTGATATATATTGATGTGTATAGATATCATCTTAAACCTAAAAGTCAACATTAACATTAGGGTGACAATCTCCCCTGTGCCTATATACATGTCAAACTGGCAAATGGAGAAGTAGGCTTAAAAAAAAAAGTAAAGGAAGAAAGAAGGAAGGAAACACTGGTTACTCATGTCTGGCACCAGTTTCCCACTTTCTCTGCAGAGCTGTGAGTGCTCCTGTGACCCTGTTTAATCCTCCAGAGATGTGCTCTGTCCTTCTCCACATCCACCTTCTGTACCATGTCGCTACGCCAGGCTTTCCCAGTGCCCCTGGGCAGGTCAGCCAGCTGTCATTGTTGGTTTGCTGCTGGGAACAGACTAGTGATGGCTCAGCCTTTCCACAGTGGTGTTCTGGAAATGGTTCTTTTGATGGTGAGACTTTCACTCCCAAGTAAGACTTGATAGGCCCAGGGCGATGGCTCATGCTGGTAATCTTAGCAGTCAGGGAAGCTGAGGCAGGTGGATTGCTCAAGCTCAGGAGTTTGAGACCAGCTGAACAAGAGCAAGACCCTGTCTCTAAAAATAGCTGGATGTTGTGGCAGGCGCCTGTAGTCCCAGCTACTCAGGAGGTTGAGGCAAGAGGGTCCCCTGAACCCAAGAGTTTGAGGATGCTGTGAGCTATGATACCATAGCACTCTACCAAGGGCAACAAAACAAGTCTCTTTTCTCAAAAAATAAAAGTTAAGAGAATGTTATTACTGAGGGATTATTTGGCCTTCCTTTGTGGTACCAGTGCTCCAAAGAGGTGACCTGTCATTCCCACTCCAGCCCCCCAAATTCCTGCTTTTAACCTGTTCTTTTTTAATGTTTGCTGTAGGAAAAATGGGAAGAACTATAGAACTCACTAGAAAACCAGGAAGATGATTGGTCCAGTGTGCCACACAGGCAGAATCTTAGTTGTTTCCTAAAACTCAAAACATGGGAGCCATGGAGTGCGTTTCCTGTCAGGCCCCAGAAGGTCTCCCTTGAACCCGTGAAATTCAAAGAGAAGAGCACTGGGGGCTTCTTGGCAATTTGCAAGATTCTTGCCTGTTGCTAACCAACCTTCAGTCAAAGCCTTTCCCTGCCTGGGCTTCTCCAAAGCAGGGAGCTGCAATGCCACCAAAAATATGCCTTCATGCCGGGGTTGCCAAGTCTTTAAACAGACTTTCCCCTTCGTGCCCTCAGCAGGCAGGATATTCCCATCCCAGTCACTCCCAGGTATGAGAAGGACAGCACTTGGGCCGCTCGTGCACGTGTGGGCCCTGGGCCAGTTCTAGTAGTCAAGTTCGGCTGTCACTACCTTCAGCCTCAGTGTGCCAGGAGCTTTGCACTCTCCTTTTTTCTACTCCTGACACAGTTCTGAAAAGAGCTAATAAAAGCATTCATACTGAGACATAAATAGCTGCTGAGGAATATTTGCATTAACGGAGCATAAACCCCCAAGAGTGAAGCTGGAATGGTCAGGGGCCTTCCCCAACCCAAGTCCACAATCATGGCACACAGGCCTGTAGGTTGGCACCTGCTCCTATGATCCCACAGGGCACAGTAACAGTAATTAATAGCCGTCATTTATATTCCAGCCATAGTGCTAAGTGCTGTGCAAATACTACCTCATTCAGTCACAATACGCAGGGGCCTGGATATAAAAACACTGTCACAGCTGTCTGTCATCCATCCGCTCTGCAGAAACAGTGAACATGTTGGAAGCCACATATTGTTTCCTTGGTATCCTTAAGACAATTGATATTCCCCAGCAGTCTTTAATGTATAATCTAAAAAATGCCAGTTTGCACAGCCCACAGGTTTATCCAGTTATAAAGCTTACGGTTAACTAATTATAAGCACATTTGCCTGAGCAAAGCATTGACAGCAAATCCCCTTCTTTCAGATGGCATTTGTCATCATCTCATTCTCCAGTCCTTGCTCCACCAAGAAGCAATTGAACCTTTACTGGCTCTGGCTCTGAAGTATTGCAACACCCTGTGTTTATTCTGTATTATCTTTCATCATTTTAGTGCCATCTGGTAGACACAAAACTGATTAAGATTAGTGTTCAGTGGGAACAAACCAACCATTATTTATTTATCAACTCTGGGAGTGAAAAAGAATCAGTGTATTAAAGATTTTTGTTCTAAACCGGGGATGCTTTCATCTCCCCAGCCCTGCTCCTGTTAGACCTCAGACTAGATAACCAACTAGAAAAAGTAACCCCCACTGCCTATAAGTCACTGCTTTTTGGCAGCTGCATAGAATATAATTAACAGTCTAAAAATGAGTCTGTGTCACACTTATTAAAATTAGTTAGCAAAGATCTTTTATCTTTTTTGACAGACTAATCAAAGATTGAAGGCTTAATTATTTTCTTTACAGAATTAGTTATGCTTCTTGTCCTGAATCCATACTTTTCTTTCCACTGGGGGGAAGAAAAGTCCTAAGACAAATTTCTTGGAAGGGATATTAGTTTCTGCCTTGGGGAGGTTGTGAGGATAAAGCTAATAGCTGAATGATTTCAGTTAGCAAATTGCAGCCACTCTGCCTCCTTCAGCCAAAACATATTGACTGTGTGGCCTACTTCAGTCATAAATAGGAATTATTGATGCATAAACAGTAAAACTAAACAAAACAAAAAAGAATTTGGCCACTTACCAGTCCAGTACTGCAATGAAGAGATGGTATTTCGGGTTTTGAACTTTGAAAACCCACTCATACTCAGAAATTAAATTTAATAAATCAGCGGTTATCTGTTTATACTCCTTTTAAGATAGATGGTAAAATTAAATAGGTGACCACCTGTATGGCCAAGGACTGTTCTAAATACCAAAAACAACACAAAGCTGAGTTTTAAAAGCCTTTTTTATAAATGTTAGTGATCTAAATTTTTTTTAGTCTGTTTTGAGACAGACTCTAACTATATCTCCCTTGGTTGAGTGCTGTGGCGTCACAGCTCACAGCAACCTCAAACTCTTGGGCTTAAGGGATTCTCTTGCCTCAGCGTCCCAAGTAGCTGGGACTTCAGGCGCCTGCCACAGCACCCAGCTATTTTTTTGTTGCAGTTATCATTATTGTTTAGCTGGCCCAGGCCAGGTTCAAACCTGCCACCCTCGGTGTATGTGGCTGGTGCCTTAACCACCGTGTTACAGGTGCTGAGCCTAAAATTGTTAATAAAACTAAAAAATGTCTATTGATCAGACATGAAAGTGGTAAAAGTTGGTCAGCATACATAAAGATGGCTTTGAAATTGCCCATAAGAGACTTTCTTTTTCTTTTTTTCTTTTTGAAAAAGAAAAGGTCTCTGTTGCCCAGGCTAGAGTGCTGTACTGACATAGCTCACAGCAATCTCAAACTCCTGGCTCAAGTGATCCTCCTGCCTTGGCCTCACCGTGCTAGGATTACAGGTCTGAGGCACTGCCTGGCCTTGCTGTAAAACTTTTTCAAAAAGATAAAATTAAATCACCATGTGGTTGAAAGTCAGCTTTATAACAGATAGTATGAATCTGTCTCCTTTCATTCCTTAGTCTTTAATAGTTCCACTATTCTGAAAATTCAATTGGAATCTATTTTAAAGGGAAAGTATACCTGTCTGAGCTGATTCATAGTGGAGTTAATAGGGAAAAGGGGCAAGATAATGGTGTTTGGAAGGCAGCTCTCGACGTGAGGAGTGTTTGGGTTGAGTCCTGTCTTCAAATAGGTCTCTGCCTCCTGCCCGATTCCATCTCTTCTCAGTGCAGTGACTTACCCTCCATATTACAGATAGGAACGCTAGCAACATGGGACAGGAGATGATCTGTGTCCTCTGGATAACGCACAGAGTGGCCAGTGACTCTCCTCCCCTGGGCACAAAGGTACAGACTGGGTGGGTGGACGTGAGGAGTTATTTTAAGGAGCAGGGTTAGGGCTTATGCCCAAGTTCTACACGATTCTGTCCTACAAAACTAAGTGACCAGCAGAGAGTCCTCAGAGTAATACTTCTCACTAGTCATTTTGAAAAGAAATTAAATGTGCTGTTTTGTCATTATGCCCTGACTGGCAGCCACACACAGTTAATGAGCAAATATCTTCTATGGCGAGCTCTCCAGTCTCAGTCTGATGGCTTATCTCCTGACCACTTGGGTCAGAGTGCTGTCCACTGAATTCCTCCTCTCCCACTGCCTTTTACTGTTCCCACCCCCAAAATAAATAAGGCCCTGTACCTATTTTTCATCCTCGAAGAGAGTTATTGTCATTATTAGTAGCCTTCTGATGTAACCCCTTATTAGGTCCCTGGAACCAACAGGTAGAAAAACAACTGTCATCTCCAGTATAATTTATTAATTTTCAGCACTAGCTAAAACATACTCTAAAAGCTTGATTGGGGTGAATAATTTGAGATTTTGTAAGTCAGGGTTTATTTCTACTCTGTTTCTAAAATCAAAATAGTAAGCAAGTTTTTTACTACTCTTTGATCAGAGGTACTTAGAACTGAAAATCACTGTACTGAACTGAACTTTATAGCTTTCATTATGAAATTCAGCAGTTTGAGAATTTGGGAAATTTAAATTTATGGATGGCTTTTCTTTATTAATTGATACTAATGGCCTATAATAAAAGTAAAACCTTTAGCAAATAATTGCTAACTTAATTTCTGTATAAATAGGATCATTCTTGAATTTCTAATTATCTTTCCTGCTGAACATTAATGTCAAAATAAATTTAGTAATTCATGCATTTCCTTATATGTAGATTTACTTTATATTAATTCCAAGTGCTTTTTCATCATTTGTAGACTTACCTCTCCCAGATTTATATATATATATAAAATATCTATATCTTTTATATATATATATAAAAAATATCTCTGCACTAAGCAATTAATAAAAGATTAGTAGCTTGAACATGGACTTTCCCCACGGTTATTATCAGAAGTCAAGTTTGACTCTGGGAGGCCAAGGTGGGTGGATTGTTTGAGCTCAGGAGTTTGAGACCAGCCTGAGCAAGAGGGAGGAGATCCCATCTCTACTAAAAATAGAAAAACTAGCCAGGCATTGTGGCAGGTGCCTGTGACCCCAGCTACTCTGAAGACTGAGGCAGGAGGATCACTCGACCTAAGACTTGGAAGTTGCTATGAGCTATGACTCTACAGCACTCTACTCAGGGCAACAGAGTGAGATTCTGTCTCAAAAAAAAAAAAAAAAAAGAAGAAGTCAAGTTTGAAATCTAAGTAACGTCCCTCATTCTCTTTTCAATTTTATAAATACCAATTTATTTCAAAAGATAGGTTTTTTTTTTATTGTTATATATTTTTTTGAGACAGAGTTTCACTTTGTTGCCCTTGGTAGAGTGCCATGGTGTTACAGCTCACAGCAACCTCCAACTCTTGGGTTCAAGCGATTCTCTTGCCTCAGCCTCCGAAGTAGCTGGAATTTTAGGCACCCACCACAACACCCAGCTATTTTTAGATAAGAGGTCTCGCTCTGGCTCAGGCTGGTCTCGAACCCATGAGCTCAAGCAATTCACCCGCCTCAGCCTCCCAGAGTGCTAGGATTACAGGCCTGAGCCACTGCATCTGTCCCCAAGATAGTGTTTTAAAATGAGCAATAATATTATTTGCAAGAAGTGAGTTTTCATGGTATATACTAGATATGATTTTTAGTACCTCCCTAACCCCAAATGTGCTGTGTTAAAATATAGATTTCATAAATGATGTGATTACTGTAACTGCTCTAATTTGGATTAACTATCTTTGTCTTTTGACGATGAACACCTACAGGTAGAATTAAAGGGAAGTGAGAGTAAAACCAGTAATAAAGGGACTTGCACACTTTCCTTTATCTTCCTCCCTGGCACAGGGACCGACCGGCAGGTTTGTCTGGATGTGGTCACCTTGTCTTCTTCCCCGGGTTTTCCTGCCCTGTCGGTTCTAACACTGTTCTAAGCTAAAGAATGATTGAACTGGTCTGTCTTTCTCCCCGCCTTATCTGTGTGTGCCAAGCCTCTGCAGTGCTCTCCTAAGCCGGTCTGTCCTGTCTGACCTTGTTTTTGAAAATGCTGAGAACACTATTAACAGTCCTATCATCCTTGCCTGCCTCACCTAAATAACATACAGCCCTCCGGCTTCGAGTCCTCTCTGCCTCCCTCCTTTCCCCTAGGTTGGGAATAATAAAACATCTAAATAATCATAAGCATCGTGTGGAAAGTTTCTTTGAAAAATTGTCTGTCATTCCAGAGATTTAAAATGTGCTGCGGTGAAAAGTTTAATTTTGCACATTGTGGCTTCGAGCTGTGCCTCATAGGATGTACGATTTACATTTTTTTATTTTAAGATTCTGCTTTATTCCTAGCCCTTGTGGTAGCTGTTCTGCGCTTCATACAACTGAAACCCAAGGTTTTAAACCCGTGGCTGAATATTAGTGGACTGGTGGCGCTGTGTCTGGCTTCCTTTGGAATGACCTTACTTGGTAATTTTCAGGTACTTCATTTGGCCTTTTTCACCTCCCTCTGTCACTGGTAAGAACTTCACTTGTGCGATTATCCAAGCCCCTGAGGTGTAGTCACTTTATGGCCCATGTTCTGCACAGACCTTAACAGTTGGGAACAACCCTAACACACACAGGTTCTGCTACAGTCAGCCCTGCTGGTCTCCCAGCCTGGTCCTCCTGACTGTGAGTTACACGTGGGAGGGTGTGAACTATGCCTATGAACTAGAGCATGACTGTTGGGGAAAGGAGCTGCTAGAACAGCTGTGTATTTTCTACAAAGGGTTTCAAAGTGCTTTACACTTTTTTCATTAACAAATTGTAATATTGCCTTTCTAGAAAACTAATAAGGTCGTTGTCTTTCTATAATTAAACACTCAAAATCCTTATTGGTTGAAAGCTTGCATTTCACATTAGCAAGCTTTCACGTGGAGGTCAAGTTTGAAAGTCCCAAATTTCTCTACAACACCTATGACTAGAAGCCAAGTCATAGCCTATAAGAATAATTTCCTTGGCCCATGCCATTACCCACTCTTGACCTGAATGACTTCTTTGGTAAAATAGACAAGGAGGCCTCCTGCCCTATTATAGTAGTTAACTGGTTTCCTGCCTCTATCCCTTCCCCACCACCCTGCATCCTCTGCTACATATATTGCTGTTGACAACCTCCTCCATGTTGGCAAACACTGGTCCTGACCCTGCTCCCCCTGATTGTTGGATGAAATCTAAATGGCATAGACATTTCAGACCCTTTGCCTTCTATGAGCATTTAGTAACATTCTGAAAATAAGGCAGTGGATATTCTAAGGCTGTC